GTGTGTGTGTGTGTGTGTGTGTGTGTGTGTGTGTGTGCCTGGTGCCCATAAGGCCAGAAGAGAGCATCAGAGTCCCTGGAACTGGAATTACAGATGGTTGTGAGCTGCCGTGTGTGTGTGCTGGGAATGAAACCTGTGTCCTATGCAAGAGCAGCCTGTGCTCTTAGCCACTGAGCCATCTCTCCAGCCCCTTCCTTCTTTTTGTTGTTGTGGTGGGGGTTTTTGTTGTTGTTGTTTGCTTTTGCTTGTTTTTGTTTTTTGAGTTTTTCTGTGTAGCAGTCCAGGCTGTCCTGGAACTTGCCTTGTAGATCAGGCTGGCCTTGAAATCACAGAGGTCCACCTGCCTCTGCCTCCCAAGTGATGGGATTAAAGGTGTGCACAACCATGCCTGGCTCTTCCTTTGGTTTTTAAGTTCTCATTTTTATTAAGTGTGTGTGTGTGTTTGTGTGTGGTATGTGTATGTCGTGCACATATGAATGGGTGCATGTGGGCATGTGTATATGTGTAGGTTGGAGGGTAACTTTCTGGAATTAGTTCTGTCCTTGTACTATGTGGGTTCTGGGATTGAATTTGAGTCACCTAGGTGGCAAGTACTTCTACCTCACCAGCCCTTTTTTTGGTCTTTGTAAGACAGTCAAGGTTGGCCTTGAACTTGTATTGGTTCTGTTTCTGCCTCATGATAGCTTGCCTTCCAACTTTACTGGGCCCTGAAGAAATCTCCTTAGGTTTTGTTTTAATCATTTGGGAACCTGGCTGACCTTGTAACCTTTCCCCAGTTCTTCCTGGGTACCACACCTTCAACTCTCCATCCCACTTCCCTGAGAGTCTGCCACATCCGTTTTGGACAGATTGTCTGGCCTACTGGTTCAGCCATTCCCTCCCTTGGTCTCTGAGCGTATGTATGCAGGTATGAGGAGGCCATCCCACCTTCTTGCCTAGTTCTGATCTCTTGGAAGGAAAAGGATCCCCAAGGTATCTAGGGACCCTTGGTCATTGTAGTCAATTGATGACGTCATAGAGTTTGAGGCAGAAAAGGAACTCCAGAGAGGGCAAACATCCATTCCATGACTTCGGAATCCACCCCTGAAACACCTGGGACAATGGAGAGTCCCCCTCTTAAGGCTTGCTAGGCCAGACCAGTAGCTACATCAAGGTAAACTGTTTTTAGGAGAACCTCATAGACTTTTTCTTTAGAAGACAAGCTGGGGATATAGTTCAATGGGTAGAGAACTTGGCTAGTGTACACAAAGTCATGAGTTCTGATCCCTAGCACTGCATAAACTTGGAGTGGGGACATTTGGTCAAATCTCAGCACTCAGAAGGAGAAATTCAAGGTCATCTTGGTTATAAGTGAGTTAGAAGCCAGCCTGTGATACATATAACCCCATTTCACAACAGAATGAAAACAGCCTTGGCATCGTGGAGGCAGAAGCAGGTAAATTTCTGTGAATTTGAGGCCAGCCTGGGCTATGTAAAAAAGGCTCTGTTCAGCAATGAAAGAAAAAGGCATTCTTTTCTACATTTTACAGTGTTGTGCTTACTTTCTCTTGGCACCCTTACAGAAAGAGCTGATAGGTAGAGATGTGAGAGTTGGGTTCCTCCATCACCCACCTTCCCACAACAAGTGGCCTCAATTGTCATCATTCAGAGCAAATTTCTTTTGCCCACAGGCAAGAAAGGGTCTCAGTGGGAATGAGGACTGAGTTCTCATTCTCCCTACTCCCTGTGGTCCCCAGAAATAACTGCAGCAGGGGGCAGTGTGTAGCCCTTGTTCTTTGAAGAAACCAATGAGTGAACGGCCAAACCAGCAAATGAATGTGTTAATCTCTCTCACCCAGTGGTACCCAAGCTTTATATACGCAGTAGATCCTCTATAGGCCATGGCTGTATGGGTGCCAAATCCTGCTCCCGGCACTGAGGACCCAGGGAAATATGACACCATTGTGCCGTGTAAGAGTCCACAGGGAAGAGACAGGCATATTTGTATCTGCGGGACAACATGGTAAATGAGAAGGTGGAGGCAGACTGTATACTCTGTGCTTTAGATTCTCTAAGTGTGTACTCCCATGCACAGGTGCACCATGGACTCTTGAGGTAATAGCATGAAACTTAGGGATCTTTCCTCAGAAAAATGTTAAGTGTATAAAATGCAGAAGATTACTAAGGGAATTATACAACTCTTAAGGAAGTGGTACTAAGGCTGGGGAGGCATGCCTATAATTCTGGTTACTTGGGAGGCTGAGGTGAGGGTTACAAGTTCAAAATTAGTCTGGGCCATATAGAGAGTCTAGCCTAGACTATGTAGTAAGGCTAGCCTAGACTGCATAGTAAGCTTCTGTTTCAAATCCCTACTCTACCCCCCAAAAGAAAGCAGTGAGATGGTCATACATGTACTTATTTATTAATTTGTTATATAACAAGTGCCAACAGAACCTAATAGCAATCATAATTTTGAAGCTCTTATGAGTATAAACCTTATTTTTGGAGACATTTACAACAATAGCATAAAATTACCTGTAGTTTCTGGGCCAGCTAAATGACTTAGTGTGCTAAGGGAGTTGCGGCAATCTGAACTCGATCCCCAGGACCCATGTAGTGGAAGAAGATAACTGACTCCCAGTTGTCCTCTGACCTCCACACACATGAGGTGACATATGTCACCCACCTCACAAACATAAAAATAAAGTTTGAGAAGTCTGTGATTTCTATTGACAAGTCACATGTACTATTCACCACTGGCCTTTCACCTCTAGAAACATTTAGAGATGTCTCTTTGTCTATAGTAGTTTATAATGTCAAATGCATTTCCCCTCTATTTTTTTTTTTTGTTAGTAGCCGAGGCTCTTCATTTTTGCAGGCTGTGAGAAGTGTATGCTGCTTTATTCAAATAGCTTCAGTTTCTATCTTATTTATCCCCCTGGCTCTTACTGACCCAACACTGGCTCTTCTGCTTCTGCCCGTATTAATTTGAATTGTTGGCTGTCTTTCTCTTATGTGTTTGATCTTCTATTGTCTAAACAATGTCTTTAAAACATCATTACTTTTTTGAGGATTTCATACAGTATATTTCCATCATACTTACCCCAACTCCACCCAGGTACACCCCTCCTCCCTGTTCCTTCCAACTTCTGTCTTCTTTATTTTATTCAATAACACATCTACTGTCAGCTTTGCCCTAAGTGTAGGGCCATCCACTGGAGTGTGGTTGACCTACCAGGAGCCACGCCCTTAAGGAAAATGGACTCTACCTCCTGAGTTAGGGGTGGGAGCTCATGAGCCCCTTCCCACTCCATGCTTGATCTTGTGTGGGTCTTATTCAGGCAGCAACAGCTGCTGTGAGATCATGAGCCCAGTGGTCCTGTAAATAGTACCTTAAAAAAAAAAAAA